TTTTTTATAAAGAATGAACATTACATTAAGCTAATATTAAAAGATATATTTATTGCGTTATATAAGTTAAGATTTACAATCGATACAAAATATAATTAAATTTTGGAGATCGGATTTTGATTGATTAGACATGCATTAAATGTCATTTATGTTAACACATAATTGTCAAAATTAGATAAATATAAACAATTATATATTAAATTTATTTAATTATTATAGTGTGTACATTTCTAAATATGTTGTATTCGTGAAGTAACAAAAATGTTTTTAGTAAAATGTGGATTGAATATCTTGAAACATTATCGACAATTGTCAACATGATTAAAATAAATTAATATTATTTTCTCATCACTATTTTTTATCATTACTATTAGAAGTTATAACAGTGCGGTGAAAGTGATAGAAAGCGGGAGATATGTACACTTTGATGGGCTTTATACTTGTTTGTGCATTATCTGCTTCGATAAGATCAAAGAGAATAGGGATATTCTTAACGCGAACAGCATCACGTTTCGTGAATGTTAAATATAATTGTGTATAGGAGCCATGAGTAATGGCATGACGCTTTATAATTCCTGGAATTTCGGGCTTAATCAAGTACTTATTACAATTACCTACAGCATGCGCAATCCGGCAACTTTCAGTCCACTCGCAGCTGCAGCTTCTGATGCTGTAAAGGGTTCTACGTCTAATTTCGTTTGAAAATGTATAGCGCACTGAGTTTTCATATTCATCTAACTTCGACTTTGACTTCAGCGTGAGTTATATAGCTCGTTCAATGTTTCGTCAGATAAGATTTGTCCACGGATTTACGTGCTTTGTTAAGCTTTGCGATACACTCACTCAGACGATACTTCATCCAATAATTTGCAGTTGTAACAGTGATGCAAATCTGCAAATTTTTATATACTTTTATATAATTTTTATATACCATTAAATATTTTTAAGTGTTTAATATGCAAAGTATTTGATCTTTTATTAGTTATAATATAAGATATAAATATATCTTTTATACAGGTTTTTAAGATATAAGTAAATATGAATAGTAATTTTTTTGTTAACAATTTAAAATAAATTGGAGTATGAATTTGTTGTTAAATAAATGTTGATTTAAAATGTAAATATAAAATAAATACTTTATTTAAAGAATTATTTTAATATTATTAGTTTTATTATGAGCTATGTCTTCAAAAAATTAATTGTATTGTTTATTAAATTAATTGTGTGTCTGTTTATTTCATATTATGTTTTCTCATTGTTATCATCGGATTCGTTTTTATATGTAAATTGGCCAAGTCGTGGCTTAAGTCTTCACATTATGACGAGAAGGGTTCATTTATATTACAGTTTAAGCCACAACAACTCTAAATCCACCACTGACCATCATATAAGATTAATTTGAATATGAGATTAATTTGTGCCCGCAAGACCAAGTTTCTACTACGTGGTAAAACCACCTGCTAAAACTTTGAATTTCTATGAAAATAATTTTTAAACTTTAACTTCAATATTTATGTACGATGTATTTACATTTTTTGCCAAAATTTTTGAAAATAAGTAAATTATTTTTGCATTGCAAAGATGCATAGTAACTTTATCCAATAATTCAATTTTCTCAAATAATTCTATAAAAAAATAAAATGTTATATTTGTGAATCTATTCACATTTTATTATAAATTATTCATTCCATTTTCCGATATTAATATCAATATGGTGTATTCTGTTTCAGGTGGTTCCAGTATCGCCAGCGTGGTAGCAGGTAGCAAGCCGACGAGATCCTGGGACAAACCTCAATTCGACGATATTGCACCGCGAAACGTCACTGCCATCGTCGGCCAGACGGCGGAGCTGAATTGTTATGTCAAGCATCCGGGTGACCGTGTGGTGAGTAATATTTTCATGCTACATTTGCCATGCATCCGTTGTTTCCTCCCTTGTCAGCTAAAAGTCCAAGGGAATTCTCATCGGTAGTGCACACCAATTTCTCTCAACTTGTTAATAACTATTTCATATTTATATCTTTTAAAAGCATAAAAACATTATTATGACAATTTTCTATAATAAAGACATTTTATAATGTTGGAACGTCAAGAGCGTAAAGATTTAGCTGTAAGGTCTAACTACACCTTACGTCAAGATTGAAAGCTATTAAGTGTACGATGCTATTCTTCATTCCATATTATTTCACACCTTACCACGTCGAGCTGCTATTCCATGCTACCGTCAATCTCGAAGGCTAATCGCCCTGATTAATGTCGCGAAATTGCTAGTTTGAAAAACGATAGAACACAATTTTCACAATATAGCTCCTGCACGACGTTGTCGTGTTATTTCAAAATACCTGAAACAGAGATCTCAGATTATAGTACTTGAGACTCTGTGTACTACCTTGCTTTGCTACGTAAATGGCGAAAGCACACGCTATGGAAAAATCGATCGAGAAAATACGCACAATACACGCCTCTTTGTCGAAACATGATTCCTTTGTTAAAACAATGTTGCGAATAGAAACTTTTGTTTAACAATTCGTAAAACGTATTTCCCCGTGAAGTAAAATAATCAAGTAAAATAAATCGAATAATTTCCTATTCTTACAACAC